CATTACCTTATTAAGTCCAATGAAAGGTGCAAGGAACCCTGACTTAGAATGCTTTTCATTCTGATATCCTCTTGCTGGCTGGAGTAAAGAAGAATACCTCACTGGGAATGGGGAAATGAATTGTGAAAGATGATAAATATTCCAAAAGATACCGTGGAAACAACTTTTCAGTTCCCTCCAGACTATTTGTTTCTAGTTTTTGAAAATCTTCTTACAGGGGATGAGGTAATGGGTGATGGTACTTCTCTGTGACCCTGTTACCTTGTGTATCAGAGCCAGCACTAGGAAGCTAATTTGACAGTCAGTTCTCCAACTCTACCAAATCCTGGGATAACGTCTTCCTTGCTGCCCTGCCCCCTCACACATGCCTCTCTCCCTTTCCCAGGCATTCTGAAACAATCAAAGCAGGTAGACTTTCAGACAGAGTCAGAACTAGCAGGGGACTGCTGGGGTTTTGTCTCAGATGCCTACATCATAGGTGGGATTCCACCCTATGATACAATGATCTTAGATCTCTTCCTCTTACAGTCTCTTCATTTTCAGTAACTCACTGACATCTAAGATCTTTTTAAAAAAATTGTTTATTATGAACTTAACAGGCATGAATGTTTCAATAACCAAAGACAACAGAAGAGAGGATGGCACATGTCTTGACCCCCTCTTAGAGGCAGGCTGGTCCGTTCCTCACACTTCCTGAAGCACAGGGCCAGTTGGCATTCTACCTGCTTCCTACTGCCATATTTAGACTTACCATCTGCCACCAATGCTCAACAAGGACCTCTAGTCCTTGAAAGTTCACTCCATCTGGCCCAATCCTTCTTCTTATCATCTGGAGACCTCTAGACCACTCTCCCTTCTCCCCAATACGTTTGGTGCCTGGCTCACAGTCTTCTTTTCCACCCAAGCCTTGCACCCCTCAAACACCCTGCCCTCAGAGTTCCTCATTGTCCTCAGATCTCATGGTATGTCCACCACAACCATCCTTCTCCCATTTGCCAACAGAATTTGTCCCAGGTACTGGGTTACAGTTAGTCACAGCTCTGCTTTAGCAGTGGGTACAGCATGAGGCTTTCATACCTCTCCTCTTAAAAACAAAAACAAGAACAAACAAAAAAAGTCCTTTTCAACTGTCTAAAATTTCTTTATCTAGTTACATAGCCTTATTTTTTTTCTGCACTTACGGATAAAAGACTTCAAATGCAAATGCTTGGGGTTAAGTAACCCTTGACTAAAGTTTATTTGCTCTAAAGGCTAACCTGATGGGTCTCCCAGCATGAAAGACCAGAAATAGAATATTTCCTGTTTTGAGGCAGCTAAGTAGCACAGTGGATAGAAAGCTAGACCTAGAGTTCAAATCCAGCCTCAGACATTTACTAGCTGTGTGATCTTGGGAGAGTCACTCAACTTCTGTCTCAATTTCCTCAACTATAAAGTGTAGATAATAACAGACAGATCCAACCTCAGACACTTATTAGCTTTGTGACCCTGGGAGAGTCACTCAACCTCGGTCTATCTCAGTTTCCTCAACTGCAAAATGGGAATACTAACAGCACCTACCTCCCAAGGTTATTGTAAGGATCAAATGAGATATTTGTAAAGTGCAAGCACAGTGCCTAGTGCTATAGAAATGCTTATTCCTTTTCCTTCCTTCCTTTAGATAAAGGAGAGGATGGACTGCAGGACCAGCCCTAAACAATGGTAATAGGGAAAGGGAGTGGAAAAGTAGAAAAGCAGTGAGGTACAGTAAGTAACGACCTGGTTTGGGATTCAGGAAGATCCTAATTCAAGTCCTACTTTTTTTATTAATTTATGTTGATTTATAAACAATCACTTCCATAACAATCTGATATAGGCTATACATATCAAGTCCTGCTTTAGACCCTTGCTGAGTGTGTGACTGGTCAAGTCACCTAATGTCTCAGTGAGAGCCCCAGACTTTCCAAGCCCAGGAACAGTTGCCTCTTTACATGGTAGAGGGAGTCCCTTGCACCAATGAAACCACAGACCCAGACCCAGACCCAGACCCAGACCCAGACCCAGACCCAGACCCAAAAAAGTGTGTGATGATAAGCAAGGCCTCAAGGCTGAAAATACCAAATCCAATCTAACAAGCATCTATTATGTATTTCTCAGTTGGAAGTCATAGTGCTAGCTATTTGGGAATACAAAGACAAATTTTAAAAAAAAAGAGTCCCTGCCCTGACGTTTATATTCTTCCTTGAGGATGTAATATGTGTAGAGATAAGTGTATGCAGGAGAATTAGAGAAGGGAGTGGACACTAACAACTAAGGAAAATCAAACTGTCCACAAAGACATCTTGGTGCTGTATCGTATAGTACCCGGTTAAGAATCAATCAATTAATTAATTCATCAATTAATTTAGGCATGTATTAAGCACCTACTATGTGCCTAAGTGCTGGGAATATGAAGGGTAAAACACAATCTCTGCCCTCAAGGAACTCATGGTCTAATGAAGATGACAACATACAAACACCTATATATATTCAAGATTTTGTTGTTTAGTCACATCTGACTCTTCATGTCCCCATTTGGGGTTTTCTTGGCAAAGGTACTAGAGTGGTCTGCTATTTCCTTCTCCAATGCATTTTATAGATGAAGAAACTGAGGCAAGCAGGGTTAAATGACTTGCCCAGGGTCACACAGCTAGTAAGTGTCTGAGGCTGAATTTGAACTCAGGTCTTCCTGACTCCAGGCCTAGCTCTCTATCTGCTGTGCCACCTAGCTGCCCTGCATTCAAGATACAAACAGGGAAAACTGCAGATAATAGCAGAGGTAAGGCACTGTTGGAGGAGATGGGGGTATGAAGATTTGAGCTAAGTACTGAAGGTAACCATGGAAGTCAGGAGGTTAGAGGGAAAGCATTTCAAGCATGGGGTACAGTCAAGGAAAAGGTTTATGAATCCCACATGGGTCAGATGATTAGCTCTGTAGAATCTCTGCATATTTATCAACTTTACATATATCTATATGTCCCTGGACCAGGATGACCTCTCTGAGTCCCATGCCACACTAACTTCAGGTCTGTGGACTGGCTTACTTTCTCAGTGACATTTTAATAGCTGGGATCCTTGATGTAGGCATCTGTGCCTTAAAGTAACAAACCTGTCAGGCTTAATTTTTTAAAAAATTGTTGTGTGTAATTAGTCCATTTTAATTGCTCTTGGAAATTGTAATCTTATGTGACAAGATTATTATACATTGCTTATTAATGGGGTCTCCAAGGCCAGAAAAATACCACTGAGATGGTTATGAACTGTCCTCTTTGGACTTTTTAGTCTTGTCCTTGAAATAATCAGAAAAGACATTCAGGAAACCCTGGTTCTGCTTCCCACTTTGTGGTATGACATGGACCGAATATACTTTTATCTACCTGCCAAGAGGAAAGGAATAAGAGAGAGACTGTCAACATTTCCTGTTCCCTAATGGGCACCTGTGGGCTTCATAGACTTGGTGATCATAAACCTGAGAATGTCTTGGTTCTACCCTTGCTCTGACAGTCAGCTTCTCAACTGAGTGAGTTTGAAACAAATAGGACCCTAAGTGGTGGAATACTTGATTCCACCCTGGTTGAATATTTTCATGACTTCTTATTCTGACTAGCAATGGCCCGAGGAGGTAGCTTCCCAAGAGGATTTCTATGTGAGGAGCATTGAGAGAAAGGCAACCTATTGAGTGATCTAGGATTCTTCTCTGTAGATTCAGAGAATTGCTGCCATCCTGGCTTTTACAGGTCACTGTCTCTTCTCCAGATGTATAACAGTTTTGGTTTTTTTACCTAAGGAAAAATAGTTGGGATGGGGGAGCAGCAACACATACAGAGGACTGATCAACTGTAGTTACAGTCACACAAAGAGAGGGGGCACCCCAAACCACCCTGAATGCACCCATCTCTTTAGATCTCAGAAGCAAAGCAGGATCACAGTTGATCTGTTCTTGGAGGGGAGACTACTTAGTGACTATTGAGTGCTATAGGCTAGATGAGGCACCGTGGTATAATGATAGGGTACCGAACCTGGAGTTGGAGATTCAAATTCTGCCTCAGATACTTACTAGCTGTATGACTTTGGCCAAGTCACTTAATTTCTCTGGGCTTCAGTTTCTACATCTGCAAAATAAGAGAGTTGAATTCGATGACCTGTAAGGTCTTTTCCAGGTGAAAATCTATGATCCTGTTATCTCCTCTTCCAGCCCACAACCCCCTTCTTTTGTTTTTCCCTAGATCCTCTTGTACCCCTGCCCCTGGCAAAGGATGGGCACAGCAGTCTCTGGGTCTCTACAGGGTAGACAAAACCTTAGCACTCTATTTCTAGTTATGACTATACTTCTCCCCACATCTAAGCCAGATGTTTTAAGATGAAAAACCAAAAATAAAATTTTTCTCTTCCTTGTTTAATTTCAGAAGGAAGGAGTGATTAGCTGGTCTAGTCACCTATGTTTATTTTTTTTTATCATTGGATATATTTTTTAAGCAATAATGTATAGACAGTTGTATTGTCACTAAATTGTCAATTCTCAAAAGACGGTCATCACCCATTTTCTCCTTTGTGGCTCTACTAAATGCAATCAAAAATTGGCCCTAATGTTGACAATATAAGATTTTGTACTGCACCGAGGCATTGACCTTCTCACCTTGGGTTCTTCCTTAAACAGCAAAATCAAACACTTTGCCTCCCTGGTGGCTGTTTCAGATATATGAGAGTACATTTTGCTTTGATTTTCCTCATTTTAATCAAGTATTATACAAAAGGAGACAGGGCAATAGTTATATTACACTTATTATAGGTTGTTTTGAGACTCCCTTATGTGAGTTACCATGAAAGTACAAAATATATTCTACACTGCATGACTTTTCTGCACCAATGCAAGAAAAACAACTCCGCATATATGGCCTAGTATAAGAGATGCAAATCATCTTAATATACAAAGGGTGACATGCTAATAACAATGCTTGTGTTTTGTTTTGTGTTTCATTTTCTAGCTGCTGTTGTCTGTGTTACCCTTCTCAACAGACTAGAATGTGACCAGATCAACTTGCCCCGTGAAGTCCTACTAGAATATCAGCAACACCCCCAGAAACTGATCTCAATCTTTATCAAAAAGCGCCTTGGACGATATAACCCAAAGTAATTTGCAAGCAGCCAAACTGTCCCTCTGCACTTGCAATTACATGCAAATTCCATTTTTGAAGGAAGCTTATATATGGCAGCCCCAGTGAAACCAATGACATGTTCAATTTTGATTTCTGGTCATGGTACAAAGCCCAAATCAAGCTCACACTGAAATACACCAGCCATTTTGTAGATATGATTACCAGTCAATCTATTTCTGAAACCCATCCAGACCTTCACGTTAGAACACTGTCAGACCATCTTAAGATTTGGACAAGTTTCAGTAGTTGAGCACACACATTCAAAATATTTACCTCTCAAATGTCAGTTTAATATGGATCTACATGGAAAAATCATCCTAGGGAAATGGGTCACACTTCACTTTGCTTCCATCTGCAGGGTTTCAGCAAATTAGAGAGTGGGAACTCAAAACCTAGGTAGTTATTTTTTATATAAATGATTTTATTTCAAAACAAAGGTAATCTGGGTTTCATATTTATTTCTGAGAGAAAAGACTTGGTAATCAGGTGGGGTAAGGTGGGGGAATATTTAACTATGTTTATAAAGCTAAATTATCTTTTAGCATTGGTAGTTTGTAGGATTTGTGTTTTTATTTCATAGAAAAATGACCAGCTTGACAAAGGAACTTTTGGAATTGGTGTTAAAGTTGAACCTTTTATAGAATATTATAACAGATTTTTCTCAGCACCTACATGATACCTCAATAGTCAGCTTGGCCCTCCAGGAAGCAACATACCTCTTTTAGGCTGTTCAGTGCCCTGAAATAATTGTCTAAGCCTTTGGCTCTTTTCCAAGGCTGACAAATGCAAGAAGGGGACAAGGTGATTGGGGGGAGGCGGGGTATGGTAGTTGGATTTTAGAACATGGTAGTAGGTGATGTTTTATATATAAATGATTTGTACATATGTTCATATATTTTAGATCAAATAAAGCTTTAATTACGGTCTCGTATACTTACTGATACTTTTGGTATAAGAGTCATTTTCACACCAGAAAAAAAAAGTAACTGGAGGAAAAACACTGTCAGCTGTCAGAAACTCTTAAGGCAGGTTTGTAGAGCAGTGTAATGTAGAAAGAACATGGTCTTGAAGTCAAAAGACCTGCATTTGAGCTGTGACTTTGACTCTTACCAATTGTGTGATTCTGGGCAAGCTGCTAAATTTCTCTGAACCTGTTTCCTATCTGCACAATGGGGATAATACTTGTTAAAATACTTCATGGTTTTGTTGTGAGGAAAGATGTTATAAATCTTAAGGTAGAGATTTTATTTTGATAGAGCCTTCCTACTCTAACAGAATACCAAATAAAGGACCCTTCTTCTGGCATCATGGAAGTGAGCTTAGAGATCAGCAACATTTCACTTCCCCACCAACTGTCTCTTCCACAATGACTCTGAGGGGTTTTTTCTCCTAATCCACTAGATTCTTGGGCTATCACCAGGTAAGAGGATGGTCAAGGGGATAGCTGAGTACTTTCCTTGGCACTTCTCCTTGGGGGAAGGATGGGGAGTAAGGGACAAAGGGATGACTTACAGTTCTGCTAAATATCATAGTTTATGGAATAAAGCACGTGCAGAACAGAATCTTTGGAGAGGCAATTCAACCCCTGCCTCCTCCTGTCAGTCATTCTCCTGTTCAGGGATCCCTCACAGAGATGGTGTTTCAAGGTTGACCTCACTACATAGTCCTCTGAGCTGCCATTACCATCTATACAAAAAATAACTAGGAACTCTTGTGCCCTGGAACAAGTGCCACAAACACATGGTACCTCCTGGAGGGCCAAACTGACTATACATATACTGAGAAAAATCTTCTATATAACTCCTTTTGTTGTGGCAAAGCATTGGAAACTGAGGAGACGTCCATCAATTAGGGAATGGTTGAACAAGTGGTATATGATTGTGATGGAATATTATTGTACTACAAGAAATTACAAACAGGCTGATTTCAGAAAAACGTGGAAAGTCTTATATGAACTGATGCAAAGTGAAGTGAGAACCAGGAGAACATTGTACACAGTAGCAGCAATACTGTATGAGATCAACTGTGAATGACTTAACTATTCCTAGCAATACCATGATCCAAGACAATCCCAGAGGACTCATAATGAAAAACACTATTGACCTCCAGAGAAAGAACTGATGGAGTCTGAATGCAGATCGAAGCATACTACTTTTTACTTTTTTGTGGGTTTTTTTTTTGGAGGGGAGTCCTGTGTTTTCTTTCACAACATGGCTAATATGAAAATGTTTTGCATGATTGCACATGTATAACCTGCATCAAATTGGTTGTATCTCAGGGAGAGGAGAGGAGAGGGATGGAGAGAGGGAAAGAATTTGGAACTCAAAAAAAATTTTTAAAGAATCTTAAAATTGTTTTTATGTGTAATTGGGAAAAAATAATATATTCAAAGAAAAAAAAGAAAAATTGCTAAAATATTCTAAAAAAAAGTACAACTTTAACATCAATTCCAAATTTAGTTCCTAGTAATTCTTTCATCACATTGGTCATTTTTCTATGAAATAAAAACATAAATCCAACCAACCCCCACCTATTTTATTTAAAGTTTTAAAAAAAATTATTGTATTTTTTTTTGTTTTTACAGCACCTTTATTTCTTTTTTTTTTTTCAACCAAAGACAAGATTTAGTAGAATATGTGTCATATTGGGCAGACTCTTAAGGAGTCTGAACATTAGTGTGCTATTGGCTAGATTATAAGAATCTGAACCACCTTTATTTCTTAATATAGCTCTTCCTTCTCCCTCTTCCCCTCCCAGTGAGCCATGTATTATAACAAAGAATAAAAAAAAGAGGGGGAAAAACAGTTCAGCAAAATCTAATTAACACATTAACATTGCGGTGCTCCACATCTATATTTTCTCGCCTCTGAAAGGAAGGGGGTGGAAGGAATCTTCTCATGCCTCTTCTTTGAGACCAAGCTGGATCATCTCAATCTCATAGCATTCAATTTCAATTTGGTTGCTTGTTTTTTTTTTCATTTATTTACATTGTTTTAGTCATTGTGCATATGGTGCCCTTAGTTGTGCTTCACTTTGCATCAGTTCATATAAGTCTTCTCATGCTTGTCTGTATGCACCATATTCATTATTTTTATAGAAACATGATGTTCTATTACATTTTGTACCACAAGTTGTTTAGCTGTTTCCTAGTTGATGAGCATCTACTTTATTTCTAGTTCTTTACTGCTACAGATGTTGCTATAAATATCTTGATAAATGGGGAGTCATTCTTTTTATCATTGAACTCCTTGGATTCAATGCTGGACAGCAGCAGCTCATCCCTCCTAATTATTCTTGCCAACTAGGCGCAAATGCTGTCAGCACCCCTTCTAAATTTGGGACCCTGAGGCAGAGCCCTGCTCTCCTTGCCCTACTTATGGCTCTTTTCTCACCATGACTCAGGTAGGTCAGGGCCACTGTTATTAAGAGAGAAAGCAGCATCTCCCACCACCTCAGGCTCACTGCTGCCCTGGCATTTAAACGATTGTCCTGGTAAGAAATGGAAGCCTGCAGAGACCTACATCTCCACCTTGGCCTCGTTTCTTCTAACCCTGTTTTTGTCCCCATCACCATACCAAGTCTCTGCCTTTCAGGCTCAGCTAAAGTGCCACCATTTCTATGAAGCCATTTCTGATTTTCTCCCCATTACCCAATCAAATTATTAGTGCTTTTCCCAACTTCAAATAAAGCACTTTGATCTACTTTGCCAGCTTCACTCCCTGGAGTGTCTCATATGTATTGGTGTTTTTAATCCTCAGGAGAATATAAGCATCTTGAAGGCAGGGACTGTTTCACTTTTGTCTTTGAATTCCAAGCACCTAATATGATGCCCATTGAATTGAATTGTGTTTCTTTACCAACACATAGGTGTTTAATGTGGATTTTCAAACAGTCCTGACTGGGAAGCAATTGATTAACATATATAAAGGCAGTGGTGTTATATAATATCATATGTGAAGCCCATTAGATAGAGGGGTCAAATTTTCAGTCAAAGGATCTGAGTTTAAATTTGAGCTCATACGCATAGAAGCTGTGTGACCCTGGACAAGTCACTTAACCTCTGATAATTTCCTCAACTGCAAAATGGAGATAATAATAATACCTACCTCCCAGACTTGTAGTGAGGATCAAATGAGATCATATTTGTAAACTACTTAGCACTGTGCCTGGCACATAGTAAGCCCTTAATAAATGCTTGTTTTCATCCCTCCTGGGATTGGAGGGGGTGGGATAGGATGGGATCTAAATCAGTTCCCATCACATTCTAGCTCTGTTTTGGAGGCTTTTAATTTCATTTTACTATTTTTAAGCCAAGAAGAAACTTCTCCATAATTATCTGAATAGGTCTTTTGAACTTTCTCCAGTCCTTTCCCCTCCTCCCCTCTCCCCTTTCTTCTCCTCTCCTCTACTGTGGTTAGATTTGGTAGTGGCATGAAGGGGAAAAGAAGAGAACTATCCTAGGATGGCTTGGCCCTAATTAAGGCAACACCCATGTATTATCTTCTAGAAATAAAATTCTAAAAATGTTGAAATTTTCTCACAACCCACAGATACCTCAGGCTTCCTTTCAATCATCAATTAATTTTCCTCTTCAGAGCACTCCTTTATGTAAGTTATCATTAAAATGCCCCAAGAACTTTGTTCTCCTCTAATTCAGTAGTTTTCACTATACTTACTTCAAGGATCCCTGATTTCATTGGTGTGAATGACCCTTCATCAACACCAATAGTAACCTCTTCATGTTTTAGTAGATAATTCCAACAGTTGCTGTGGTCAAAAAGTTGTCACTCGGTGGTCTACAACAGAGATGTAGAACACAAAGTCCCTGGGCTACATGACTCTCAAGTGTAATCTCAATCAGATTAAAATTAAATTGGGAAATATTTTTTAAATAAATAAAAATGAAACAAAGCATAGATAGCGACATATGACAACAGGGATCCTTAAGTACAGTTTCTAATTACAGATCCTTAAGTAAGTTTCTAATTCAGTTTCACTCTACTGGACTACAATCTCTCAAAACTGTCAGGCAAAGCTTCTGATGACAAAGAGTTCATTTCTAGGCACACACTTAATGTGTTTCTTATATTTTTTTTCTCAGAATTTAACAATCAACAGCAAACATTTCAATATTCAAAAAACAACAACTAAAAAGAAGATTGTGTAAGAAACCATGAACTGGGGCATATTGTTTGGGCTTTTTAGAGTATATATTAAGTTTGACATAGGCAAATTGCTTGCCTGCTCAATGGGTGGAGGGAAGAGAGGGAGGGAGGGAGAGAATTTGGAACTCAAAATTTAGGGAAAAATGTTAAAAATTGTTTTTACATGTAATTGGGGAAAAATAAAATAAAATATTATTTTTAAAATTTGACATAGGGGAAACAAAAACTCAAAATCAAAGCACCTTTGTAGGACCTACAAGAGTCTTTGATATGCTAACAAAACTGCAAAGCATCACCCCCATGCCAAGTCAGAGCTCTAGAACAGGACATTAGTATTCCTCATTATAGCCACCCTAAAAAATTGCTTTGATACTCCTTCACCTTACACTCTTTTTGACCTAAAAAAAAACTTACCAAAGATAATTCCAATCACTCCCAGCTCTTGTAACTCTTCCTCAGAGTTAAATTATTTGCCTCTTCTACGTCCCTTCTATAGGTACAAAGTTATATTATGAATACACATAATTCTCTTTCTTTACTAATCAACATCCTCTCTCTTTTTTTTTTTTTAAGACTGGGTCTCCTTGGCTGAAAGTACTAGGGGCTATTCACAGTCCTAGTCCTACTTTGATTGGCAAAATAATTTTGACCTCTTTTATTTTCCAGGAGACACAGTTTTGCCCCTCTGTAAGCAATTTTGTGCCCTTTCTCTTCCCAGGGACTCACCATATTAATGCTGAATTTGGGGTAGACACCTGAACAGCTTAGCCCTCTGCAG